GTGCCTCTACTAGCTTTGGAGCTTCTCTCTCCCGGAGCCTGCTTCTTCTCGTCTGCATTTCATTAGGAGCACACCTGGAAGTCAGGTGCAGCGAGCGCATTGACTGAACAGCTCACAACCAAATCATGCCTCTGCGGGATGCTGGGCTGCTTTTCATTTGTTTTCTGGGAACACTCACCCTGAGTGGGTCTCAGGAACAGAGGTGGGGCCTGCTGGTACCATCAGGTCCCTACAGGACAGGAGTGGGGCATTCAGCAAGCATCCTCGTGCTAAGGGTAGAAGTGGTAATGCTGTTTCTCTCTGCCCCAGCAGGTAATTCCACCTCCTGCCCCAGCTGGCAGGACCTGAACACTTTGGGTGACGTGGTTGGCTAACAGAGCCTTGCAGTTCCCACCGAGAAGAGTAATGCTGTAGGTATGCCGATCACCCCAAGAGCTGCCTTGGGCAAGAGTATGTTTGCGCAGGCGCCTTACCTGCATTATCACTGATCCTCACCACAGCTCAGGACTCAGGGACCATTCTATGGGTGGGGAGACACAAGGGAGGTGTCCTTGTGATAGCACGGTCTGGGCTTGATAGCAATGGGACTGGGGATGCCTGTGTGGTGAGTGAAAAAAGCCAGATTTTAAGCCAGATCTGTCTGATGCCCAGTTTGTACCTATTATGTGAGCACTAGACCACACATTTGGCTCTACCTTAATGCAGAAGAAAGTAATTTCACCTCCATGAAGCAAAGGTAAGTATGGCCTTGCTTGTCAGGAGTCAGCGCTGGCCTTTGGGATCTGTGTAGGTTTCTAGAGGCTCAGATGTCGGAAGAGGGGAGCCTATAAACTGGGCAAACTTCACTCTGTGGGTCATAGACAGCACTACAGATTCATTCTAATCACTTCAACTCTGAGATCACACAGCTAGAGAATCCAGAACCAAAACGTAAACTGAGTTTCACCTATTTTATTGACCCTCCGCATTTGTCTCGCGTTGGGTCTAAGAGACACAAATCCCTTCTTCCTGAGCCTGCCCCTCTGGGGGCCTGGCCTAGGAGAACAAAGCAGGTGCAGATGTTCCACAGGCACCACGCTGACACTGGCAATGCGAAGTACTAATGCTAGGTCACGAGGAGAAGCTCAGTCTCTGCACACAGACTTCCTTGACGTCATATCCCTTCCCCACCAGTAAGCACGTCATTAAACTGCTCGGAGCCTCATTTTCCTCATTAGCTACCACAAATGATAGTAGTAGGAGCAGATGAGATGATACAGGGGAAGCTTTGGTACGTGGTAAGCACTCTATAACTTACGGCTCTCATTATGATTACTAGCTATGAAATCCTCACAGAAGACAGAGATAGATATTACTGTCATTGATATATGATTGAAGCAATGGAATTCAAAAAAGTAAAACAAAAACAATGTGCTCAAGATGTCACAGCCAGTACACACAAGTAGGATTCCAGCCCAGAATTGGCCAGTTTGAATACCCTGTGCCTTGTCTGGGCCACCTTCCCAGGCATTAGAGCATCAGCATCGGCCCTTTGCCCCTGCATCTTGCAGTTGGCCATGTGTTCTGCCAGTGGGGCTTGCCCGCCTCTGGGTTAAACCTCAGGGCGCCTTACTTGCAATGCATTTCCCACACCCCTTCCTCTGTCCACTCTTCTGTAATTATTACACCCCTCCTGGAGACATGCACTGAAACAGGATTACACCTAACCACTGGTATTGACAGAATGGGACACTGGGGCTTGCCTGACTCCCGGCTCTTCAGGGCAGTGACTTAGAACTCTTACAAAAGAATGTCAAGAATATATTGGAATACATGGGCCCTGTTCCTGGGGAAAAAAAAATGTGTACTCATACTAGCAATATGACAAGCAATTGTAGAAGGTTCTCAGACACCTCTGTGATCTATCCAGGGACTTCAGGGGAGGCATTCCTGATCCGGGGGAGAATCCTAAAACTCGTTAGAGTACTCATCAGCCGTAGAGCTTCCGTGGACCTGACTCACAGTTTACCCTGTGCAGGAGGGGAGGGGAGAGGGCCCGTGATAGAAGCAGGCCATTTTTCCATCTTAAGTGAATCTGGTGGACCCTGATGCCCTGCCTGGCCTAAGGCAGTATCAGTGGAGCAGTTGAGAGTTACCCTGTTATCCCAGGCCAGCCACAGCCACTGCAGGGGTGCAAAAGCAGATACTCACCAACACGCCCTGAGGCCACTGGAGAAGAGGCAGCAGATGTGGAGGCCAAGGGCAGTGGCAGGGCTGGTGCCACTGAGCCTTGGGACACAGAAGGCCAGCAACTGTTTAGGGGTTGAGAGACAGCCAGTGTGCTCCCCACTCAGGGAGGACCAGCTGCTCTGATAGGAACACACGCTACAGAGTCAGATAGCAGAAGAAGTGTGAATCCCAGCACTGCCACTTACCAGCTTTGGACCCATGCCTTTTTGAGTCTCATTTTCCCTTCCTATAACTTTTAGATAGAACTTTCTACCTTGTGGGACTGGTGTGAGGATGAAAGAGCATTTGTATGTAAAGGGTATGATAGAATCCCTGCAACACTATACTTGATCAGTAAACAAGCTGCTGATATGAATAAGATAATGGGTGTTCTTATTTGGAACCCATTATGATGCCTTGGAGAATGCATATTTTGGGATTCAGGTTGGAAATCAGGAGTATTTCAGAGCAAGTGTTTGGTGGCAGAGGATGGTTTGCTGTGCACACACCTGGCCAGCGAGAGGCCACTTTGCAGGAGACATGTTCCCCTCCATAGCAGCTGATTGCAGAGAACCACTTGGCTGATTGCATTGATATCATACACTGGGCAGGGCAGCCCTGAAGCAGCCTCTTTCCTCCACTGGACTGTTTTGCCACATCTGATGAGCATGACTTCATCTGCTTGCATTGCCCAAGGGCCTTGTTGTGTGCTTTCAAAATTTATATACATGTGACTGAACTAACGCATATGGACCTCAGTGTCTGTGTGTACAGGGGTACATGCGCCTGTGTATACTTATTTTGTGTATTGATAAGACTCGCTGTTGGTGAATATTTTGTTTTCCTCTGAGCTTGGACATCTGGTTGCCCGATGACTGTATGCTTGAATCTGCCAGCAACTGAACCCTCCTTGAGACACATTTGGTTGCTCACCCTGGTATGCCCTCTTCCAGATCCTGACCATTGGTCATTGCAAATTTCCGTAGCAGGAGTTTTTCTTGTTGTGGAGAGAACCTCTCCTCTCTCTGGGGCTCAGCACCCAAGGTCAGGTTCAGAGATGAATGAATGAAAGCTGGAGGGAAGTTCTGACTGATATCATTGATAATTGTTCCTTCCTCTTTTGTAGGACTGTTAGCCTGATTTATTTGGAATTTGTGCACTTTTTTTCATAACTGATCTCTCTGGCTACATACCATGGAGAGGGGGGAGAATATAATAATTAAAGTTATTAGCATAGAAAATTGTTGCCTATTTGGAGTTTCCAGGTATGAAGGGTCAGCATAATAAGAACCTAACATGATTTCATTTATTAAAAGCAACTAATGGGGTGAAATAAAATAATGTTTTCAGTATAAGGAATGTTACATTACGAACAGAAATGCTCTCTTTTATTGCGTCTCTTTGTCTATTATTTATTTATTTTCCTTAAGGAAAGGTCACTTAAAAATTCTTGGAACTTTCGTCTATCTCGTGTTGCCAAAGCTAAGAGCACAAAACAAGGCTTTTGTTGAGACACAGGTGCTAATTCATGAGCACATGTCTATGGGAGTGAAACGTGAGCTCCCCAAGAAAGGGAACTGAAAATGAAGGCAGATGCCCGTGAATAACCCCTTGGTCTCAGAAGCATAAGGTCATGCAAAGCCCCACGTTATCCACCAGACCTTGCCCCTCTCTATGATTATTAAATGAGAACCAAAATAGCAGAGGAACCAAATATCTCTTCTGTACCATCATGGCCATCAGGCCCAGTGATCTTGTCTTCCTTGGTGTGTCTTTGGTCTTCTTTCAGTGCTGGAGAAGACAAAATTAAATATGGAATTAGTTCTACCTTGGCAAGATTTGGGAAGATTTAGAATTTAGGAACTGGGCAGTTCCTTAAGGAAACATAGCCTTTGGGAGAGCTGTCCAGATCCATCTGTCTATTCAGATAATCTGGGAGTGTCTGCTGGGTCTCTGCCTCCCTGCCCCTCAGCCTTTGAAATTTGCACCCGTTTGGTGCATTTGGAGATGCCTCTCATTGGTGCAGGGGCACAAGAACAAGGACTAGACGCTATCCTTTCAGTTCCTGGAAGTTGAGATCTTGAGAATGAAAACCAAACTCCTTGGGTTGTCCCTATTTGGTATAAGGCTGACAGAAGAGCCGCTTCTCCCTGGAAGGCCTAGAAGTCAGAGGGGAACCTTGTGATACAAAAAGTTGGGGTGGGGAGTATATGAATCTGGGGGGTCCAGGGCCCATGCTGATGATTCCAGGCAGATTAATATTTATCGGAGAATGGTACCTACAGACACATCCTCTGAGGGTTGGCTATTGAAAAGCCATGCTATGGTCCCTCAAACAATGACAGTCCCTTAGCCCTTAGGCTTAAGCACAGAGAAACAACTTATCTGAGGTCAGAGGAAGTGTAGGGATGAGAGAGGAAACAAAGTCAACTGACAGTTAAGAAGTTGTTCACTCCACGAGGCCATGGGAGCCCTTCTCCATGCAGTATGGATAAATTCTCTCCCATGAGTTTTCTAATAACTCACATTTTATAGGAAATTGTTAGGTTAACCGAAAATTAGAATTGTTTCTCAGCCTGTCCCTCACGTTGCCCCCTGGTTGATATGGGGGGACTCTGGACATATACCGGGTAAGGAGGGTGTGCCTCCATCCCCAGGCATGTCTGAGACCCACTTGGTCAGAGAAGTCTCTTTCACCACTGCCCACGCCAATAGGACAGAACTCAGCTCATGACCACAGCATTCCCTGGGAACAAGCAGATAGCATTTCTTCACCGAAGAGAAGAAGAGGGTAGGGAGCAAAGTCAAGTTTTATTATTAAACAACTTTAATCCAAATGCTGATTATTATTTGCAGTGTCTGAAGGCACAAAATATACCTAAAATGTATGGAATAGTCTAAACAGAGTTATAAATCCAAAGAGCAAAGCATGAAAAAAAGATACATTCTGAGCTGACACAGAAATCTGAGTTGGGATTTTTTTTTTGAGAACTTACTTGAATATCAATCATTTCCCCTCATGCCAAGGGTAGGAAATTTAAAAAATAACATAAACATGGTGAAGAATAAATAACACCATGAGGTGTTAAGGGTTTTTTTTTTCAATAAGCAGGATGCCTTTTCCTCAAAGGTATACTCTCTCTCTCTCTCTCTCTCTCTCTCTCTCTCTCTCACACACACACACACACACATGCACACACCCACACACACCCACCCACACACACACACACACACACATGCACACACACACACATACACCTGCCATCTCTCTCCTCTCCCTTACACCCACTCTAAGCAAAGCTGTCCAAGAAGACATCCATGGTGTACCCCAGAAGACAGATCATCTCAGGAAAAAACAGACTTGGGAGTGAGATAAGGCAGTGAGACCAGAATTTGATTAAAAAAATAGATATATATGAAAAACTGACCATCCAGGGCAGGGCCCCCCAAAGTGCTGATGGAAAGAAAATGAAGCCTGCTCTTCCTCAGGGTAACTGTCGCCCACCTAGGCTTCACTATGCGCATGCACCCAGCTCCTGGTTCTCCACGCTCTGATTGGAGAAATGTCAATGGATTGCCTGGGTAGCGCTAACATCAGGCCATTCTCAGCATCCAGAGATAAATAACATAATTATAAACACTCTCCTCTCCAGGGTGCTTTTAGCTGACTATGTGATGCAGCCGTTCCTTTCTGCTCAATCATGTCAGTCAGGACTTCAGGAAAGAAATCAATCCGGGGCTAGTTATCACCCTCATAAATACACCTCTGGAGCAACTCTACAAGGCTATAGGAGATGCAGTCAATAGCCTTTGTATTGTCCCATGACCACAGATGGGCTCTCAGCTCCCTGATGACTGCCCAGCCAGGGATGGGGAGGGGAGCCCAGCCCTCTTGGTGCCCAATGTGGGCTGTGTGCACCATCCTGGCAGGTTAGGAGAGCAGAATCACCTTTGTCGTCAGCTCAGATTACTCAAACTGCTCTGCTCCTACTGGTTCTTTGTCTGGTTCTAAGGTTTAATTGTCCCAAGAAAGACAAGGGAGGGAGGCGTGGCTATCTAGCTGTCTTAGCCTTAAGGAACAGAGCTACCAGTAGGTTCCTTAGTTTGGGGATAATCCTGGGAATCTCAGTGAGAGGGGCCCCTGCCTATTGGCTGGATCACCGCTTGAAGGCTTCTTGTCTGGAGAAGGGGGCAAAGCAGGGAGTAAGGCCTCACACTGTGTTCTGGCCCCATTTTGCAGACTGCCTGCAGGGTTTCAGACCTGGAGACATCCTTTTAATTCTGGAGTTACTTCCCTGGGTGATGAAGAGTTACTTGTGTTTACATCACACCAAGTTCTGCTGCTCCTTCTCTAGGAGCCAAGGCTCCTTCCTATCTGAACAAACTCTTTCCAGCACTGCCCACCGCCTAGAGTACTGGTCTGCTCACCTAGGGCACCTCCCTCCACTCCTCCACCATAACCCTTTGACCCGAAACCACAGGTCACAAATCCCAGGGGTTATTCTCCCTCTGCCTGGTCTCACTGCCTCACCTGGTCCACACACTATAGCTAGCATTTCTCTATTCCCATGGGCAAGGACAAGCCCACCACTGCCAAGCCTCCCAAGGCAATGATGGAGCCTACCTGCCTTCTCCCACATTCTATCACTTGTTGATTCTTCTAATTAGGAAAAGAAAGCAAAAAAACACAAGGCCAATAGTATGACCCTAGAGCATGTCAGCATCAAAGCCCTCAGAGATGGCCTCCTCATGGTGGGTGCTTCTCTTGGGCCCACTGCACACTGCATCATGCTGTGGGTGAACAAGAGGACTCCCCAGGTCCCAGAAGTCTCCTAAGTCCCAGGCTGACAGGAACAGCTGATCACCGTATAGCCCCGTGGCCTGGGGTCAGACCAATGCTGGCTCACTGTTTATCTACCCGAGAGGATTAAAGAGGAACCAAGGGCCAGGAGCAGAGGAACTTGGCAGGAAACCATGGGACATGGCAACAAGCAGCATTTGGGGGCTCCTCTAAAGGGACTGGCTGCTTATCTTCCCCTCTCCCCCGGCAGGAAGGGGCTCCTTATCTGATCACCCCTCCTGCCTTCAGAAAGGCCCAGGAACAGGGGGCTTCTTTGGCACTTCAGAATGATCACAAGTAATTTGCCTTTTTATTCATATAGAACAAAATTTACAAAGTCATTCATACAGTTTTTGTGTGTTTTTTTTTACTGACTTCGAAAATTGGGAATATTCAAAATACACTTTTACCCCACTCCATTCTGTCATTATTTACACATATGTACAAGAAAAATGAAAGAGTCTTTGTGTGTGTGTGTGTGTGTGTGTGTGTGCACGTGTGTGTGGTTTGTGTTGTTGTTTTCTTGTATTAAAAAGCTCTGCTGGTCGGGTGGGTGGATGGGCGGGCGGGAGGGCAGGCGGCGCGGTCAGATGGAGGTGCCATGGGAGGTGTCCAAGGCCTCTGGAAGGACGCCTCCCGGCACAGGCTGGAAGGACATGGGGATGGGGGTCTTCACCGGGCTCTGGCGGAATAGCCCCCCATTGGGCGACCTGTGTTTGCACTGCATGGAGGGCATGGTGGCCGAGCTGCTGAGGGGCAGCGGCAGATTGCTGCTAGGCCCTGACGAGAGTGTCCGGCTGGGGCCGTGGCTGCTTTGCTCTGGCAGAAAAGTGCTGACCGAGAGCTGTGTGTTCTGGTACTCTCGCGTCGGCTCCAAGGCTTGGCTGGGAGCCAGGCCCCCCATCTCCAGGGCCGAAAGCTCAATGGACGCTGGGGAAATCTGCTTGTGAGCAATGTCTTCATCCATTAGACTGTTCATGCGCCGGTGAACCTGCTCCAAATTCACTTCTTTGTCCTGGAGGGAAAGCACAGGAAGGTCAGGCCAAGCCCTCATGTGAGCCAAGGCTGGCTTTCTACAAACTCTGGGAGGCCTGGAGACCCTAGGCATGTTAAGCCTGGTGGACACTAGGTGAGCACTGCCCCCCCATTCCTCCCATACCCCCTCACCTACATCTGGGTGAACTTCAGTTATCTGGGAACTGGTGGCCTAGGACACTGCCCCAAGGTAGCAAAGACCCAGAAAGCAGGCCTTGGCAACATGTACCTTCCCTCCTCACTTGGCCTAGAACCACGGTCACACTCAGAGGCAACCCCTGCGAGAAGATGCCTTGAAGAACTGGCAGAGACAGAAGGAGGAGAAGGGAGTTCCCGTGGGAATAAAAGGAACTGGTCCTTGAGCCCCCAGGGTGTCCTGTGTATTTACCACAGAATTCATAATGCTCAAAGGGCCTGATGTGATCATCCCCATCAGACACAAAAGGAGGCTTGGGTTCAGGAAGGTCAGTGACCTCCCTGGAATCACCACCCTTGTGAATGGCAGAGGCAGCAAGGGAATGCTGAAGCAGGAAGTGGGGGCCTGGCTCACCCTAAAACCCTTGTTCTCTCCATCTCCAGAGATGCCAGAAAGCAGGCATGTCCTTGTCTCCAAGGCCCATGGGGCTGGTTCCTGGATGAGGAAGATGGTGGAGATGGTAAAGAATGGGTCTTTGCAGGGCTTAGATGACTTTCCCGGTGTCAAGAATGTAGAGACAGCCAAGAGGGTGACCCTGACACGCGACTCTCTCCATAATGTAAATGGTGGCAAGGAAATGGTTTTGTTTATTTGTGAGCTTAAGAAAGAGAATAAAATTCACTTTAAATAACTTGATGTTTTGTCTACAATATCAAAATAAATCAAGGGGGCCAAACTGCTTGAAAGCTCCTAAAAGACAAAGATGAGGTACTCTATTTGCTCAGTTCCCCCCATTGAGGTGGGGCATAAGACCAGGTGTCCACAAAGGAGTCATGCCAGCTCCCCAATGAGGTTCAAGTTCCACTCCTATTTTTAGGCAGCATGAGTGCCAATGTGACAGGCAAGCTCATGCCTACCACCCATGCTTCCCTGATGTCAAACTCCTAGAGAAATACCATGTGAAAGCTCTGCTCTGAGATAGAACACCACAGGCTGTCTAATGGTGACATCCGTAGAGTAGAGAGGAGCCTGACCCAGGCCCATCTTATAGGGCAGTTAGAAATACCACAGATGTAAAGGCCCTCAACGGGTTTTCAAAAGATAAAAGAAGGAACCACACAAATCTAGGGGGCAATTCCAGTGGCTGTTCTGAGCTCCTAGGAGGCTGGTGGGAGAGGATCTTCCCCAGGAAGAGGCCACCCTGAGTAGCTGGTGTGAATGCCCCTCTCCCATGGGTTGCTAACCCCCATGAAGTCTCAACCCAGCCTTCCTCAGGCAAGGAAGTTGCCTCTGCAGTTTACTCCTTGTTCTCAGTGGCCCCTGGTGTGGAGAAGGCAGGGCCACTGCTCTCTCCACACCTCTGCTGAGCTCAAGACTGGTAGTCAGACATTGGCTTCTGCCTTTTCCAGAACCTTTCACAGACAAAGAAAACTGACAACCCCCACAAGAAAATAAGAAACTCATCCCAGGCCAAGAGGAGACCTGAGAATAAGAAAGCCAACTGATTTGAGGATGGAAGGTACTATGGGGCATGGCTCCATATCATAGATGGAACAACATCAGAATTCACTGGCATAGCTCCATGGGCAGAGCCGACATTCCAGGGATCTGAAGCCCCACACAGCTGAGCTCAGCTCACTGATGCTGGGAAACCAGCTCCAAGTTGAGGACACCACTGGGTGGCGAGTGTCCTGGGTAAAATCAGGGAAAGGGGCTGGAGACTACCAGGCCTTGACTTAACCTGACTAAATGTAATGCATGAATGTCTTTCACTGACTCTTTTAAGGCTGTAAAAAACTACAAGACACCGAATTCAAGTTCTCTTAATTACCTTACAACATGCTGACCCAGCTCTGTACAACTTTGCCTTTTTCTTTCTGTTTTATCTGCTTTGTTGTTAGTCTTGCACATGAAACCATTTTAAATAGTTTTTTAAACTACTATAGTAGTCTCTGGCTGTTTTAAGACCACCAAGCATCAATTATCCCTTCCTAAGACCATGGTCTGTTTGCTTTGAGGGAATTACTTCTCACTGGATAACAGTTTGAAAGGTGCCCTGCCCACCTGTAGCTAAGACGAAGGACCACTACGCAAACAAGGACAATAGGAATGAACTGAATCCTGAACAAAGAGATAAAGAGACAGAAAAGAGTTGACTGTCCATCCAATAATGCAATAGTACTTCAACAAACTTTCTGCTCCATGACTGTCCTCCTAGATCTTGCCCCCCCCCCAGGTTCTCTGGACAAGTCTGACTCCTGCCCACCACCCATCCTGCTTCTCCAGCCTTCTCATGGTTGCTGTGTGCCCCTGATAAACTCTGGGACAGATAAATCTGTCATCTCCACTGGCCAAACTCAGTGCCACAGCTGTGTTGGTAAATATCTGCATCTATAGGCTATTTTCATTTCAAAATATGGGAAGGGCAGAAGACAAGTATCAGAGATCCTGGTAGCTGGATTAGTTGAGAGAGAATTTCAGAAACTTTTAGGGTCTCATAATAGAACCTTCCTTTCTCTTTGCAGACAGCAAAGCTTGGAGAAGGCTTGATAGCCAGCTGTCCCTGCTGGCAAAGTCTTCAGTTTCCACTGAAGAAAAACCGATGACCAATGGACCTGGGATCATTGGAAGAACGAGTTAGTTGCATGATCTCACCATTTCCTTCTTTAGATTTTCTTTCCAGGGTTCTAATAATCCTTTTGGGGACACAAAGAAGTCACATTTAAAAGTGGACTAATTTGGAGGGGAAGGCAAGTATCTTGGTCCCAGTCCTGTTCACTCTGGCAGTTAAAAGAAAGGGTATGACCCTTTTTCTCAGAAAGTGTTCAGGAGATGCTCCCCATTTTGCAGGGGTCTACAGATAGAGAAAGGAGAACTTCCTGTCCAAGAAGACCACAGGAAGGCAGAGAGTTGAGAGTGGGGACAAAGTGAAAGGAGCCCTCTCTATCGAATGCTAGGGCCACAAAACAGAAGGAGAGCTTTGGGGGAAGACCAACAACCCAAAATACTCTGAAGAAAAATGTGAACAAAGGAGGTCTCTGAGATGAAATCCTTCACCCAGGAAGTATAAGGCAGAAGAGGTTCAGGGGATGGAATTATAAAAGTGGTTGAGACTAGGCACCAATCTAGCATAATAATCACAGCTGTGAGGACTTGATCTGGTACTACCAAAGCATCTAGAATAAAAATGAGCCCAGAGCATAGGTGTGGCTACAGCCCAATTACCTGAGAATCAGTACTTTTGGAGGAAAGAGCTTGAATATAGTTTCCTAAATCCATATATGTTTCTTCTTGCCTCAAGTTAAGGACAAATGAAGCAGTTCCAAGGACTGTAAAGCTGTTCAGTGAGTGTCAGCTTCCAATTGAGGTTAGTCATTAGCCTATAACCTTTCCACGTCAGGATACAGAGAAAACGTCCACACCAACTGAACAGACTTTCCTGGGAGACCTTCCCACCCCAAATGGCAGTAAAGTAATTAATCCTCTGTGCACCAGTGGGACCTCATTCTATTCAAATTCTGTTACTGCTGGTAGCTAGCTCCAACACAAAACAAATCCCAGAAGAACAAGGTGGCATCGTGACCTGCCCATATTTGATTGTTTAACTGGACAGAAAATGAGAAAAACTCATGAGAAATGCCTCCCCACCCCCCAACACAGGTAGTCTGTTTGAGCCTCCAATCTATTTCTAAGCTGCCTGCTTCTTCCACCGTCTAGAGGTCAGATCTGAAGTGCAGAAAACTGGAGAAAACCACCTTGTACAGTAAAGCCTGGAAGAATCGTCTTGGATCACCTGGGGCCACAGATTTAGCACACACTAAGTCATTTCCAGTAGTCCCCGGCCAAGGAACGAGGAGGCAGAAATAATCCACCTGCTCAAGAAAAGAGGCAGGAGTGATTTGAATAATTATCTATATTTTAGACAAAATGGGACATTCTATTATGTTATGCAAATTCAAATAATGGACTTTTTTATGTGAACTACATCAGTTTACATCCTCATTATCTCAAGTTTTTGGTGTTCAACCGTACAGAAACTTGCTGCTGTCTTCATTAATTTACTGTAGGTAACTGACCTAGTCAAACATCCCTGAATATGACATAAAATCCATGGGCTGCATTTATCCACAAATCCGGCTAAATTCCAGCTCTGTGTTTCTCACCTCATATTAAACATGATGACAGATGCACCAAAAGAGGTTACTGGGGACCCTCTCCCAGGCATTGTCTTGCAGAGAGATAAAGTTCTGTAATTAAGCCGCTGTTCACCAACGTGGAAATAATTCAGTGTACTGGAAAATGGTAATTAACTAAACTATCATCTATGTAACAGCCAGTTACACATGGGACTCGTTAGAACAGGCTTTGTTTGGTGTCCAATGGCTTTTACTTTAAGTTGAGCAGGAACAAAATGGGACAGGGGACTTCACACCTGACTGGGATGGTTGTAGAGGTGTTCTCCCATTACCACTGACACCAACCGGGTTGTAAATGAGACCCAATGGCTGGGGAAAACGCCATCAATACGAACTTCTTAAGTGTTGCTATAAAGACTTGCCCAGCCCTAAAGGACTGGTCTGGAGATCTGAAAGTAGTGGCTAGGTAAGGGCAAAGAAATTGAGCAGTTAATGAAGTGGTCTCAAGAGATGATGGACAGTTTTCAGAGCATCATTGGGAAAGAATTCTGATGGATTCTGTCACAGATTCCATAGGGGAGGGCAAAAAGAAGAGAGAGCTGATGGACATCTCCCATCATACGTGGTAGCAGCAGGTGTACATGGGGTGAACTGAGGCTAAGGGTGAAGAGATTCGCTCAAAGTCACACTACTTCATGCTAAGTGGAGCATCAGGATCAGAGTCCATATCTACCTGCCTCCAAAACCTGGGATCTTTCCAACTATGCCAAGCTGTGTGTTCCCAATTTCCCCTTGAGAGGATTGTGTAGACCAGTGGTTTTCATCCTTGACAGGATGTCAGAAGTACATGTGGAACTCTTAGAAACTACAGTTGTTCAGATCTACCTAATAGGACCCTTTGGGGAATGGAGCCCAAGCATCTGTATTTCTAAAAACCTCCAGGATTAATCACCTCTGATGTGCAGCCAGAACTGAAAGTCATTGATCCAGCTGAAATGATTACACAACAATTTAACATTAATAACGTTTTCTTTATAGGAGCCCAGACTGGTTCATTCATTCGATAAACACTTTTGAGCTCCTACTACCAGATGAGCTAATGTTCTTGGTAAAGCATCCATCTTGGTCCCTGGCATGTAGAAGGTGCTCAATACTTCAGCTATATTCATCACCTCTTAACGAGAGGCTCCACTGTTCCAGACACTGGGCAAAGTGATGGCAATGCGGAGGTGGAGAAGTGCCAACTGACTCCAAGCAGGGATAGGCAAGTAAACCATTAGCAGCAATTTGGAATCAGCCAGCATGAGTGCATACACCCAGGGAAGCAGCCCATAGAGGTGAGCAGGGGAGATTTTACAGAGGGGAGTGATGTCTGAGCTGCTTTTGAGATACACATTGGTGTAAGATAAGCATTCACTCTCTTCTTGCTAATAGGTCTTGGGATAAGGGCTTAAATGCACACTTGCTATCCTTACCCTCATGCTAAGAGGTCTGATATCAGGAGTGTAGCCACTGGGCCAGACTCAGTTTGTGGCCGAAGAGACAAACTGGGGTGCAGAGGATGTCAATGCCTCACTAGGAGCCGGCATCCTGGCTCAAGGAAAAAAGCCCAAGCTACACTTTTAATTCCCCAAATTCTCTGGCAAATGTCAGGCAGGAACCCCCGCTCCTGCACACACCCCATGGAAGGCCCAGTGGCAGACACAGCAATCATATCCCAGTTCTGTCCCTGCCTATTCTGCCGTTCATTTCTCCAGGGCCAAAGATGTCTTCCTCCAATGCTCTTGAAGGCAATCAGGAGAGTTAAGAAGATAACATGTAATCTTTCTGGCACAGAGAAGGTGCCCTAAGATGTGAATTGTCCTCCCCACACCCCTTACTGCCCATCACAAGGTCCTTGGGAGGGAATAGGGCCTTGGCCGCCATTCGCCAAGCATGTCCCACGGGCAGGTGCCGCTTATGGCACTTTCCACACCTTCCCTCATTGAACCTCAGAGCAACCCCGTGAGGCTGGCATAAAGGAAGAGGGGAAAGATACAGGAGAGAAAAATCTCTACATGGAGTTGGAAGAAGCATCAGAGGAGTGAAGGCAGAGAAGGGTGCAGAGCCAAAGGGGGTGTCCCCTGCCACAAATCCTCCACGGAGAGCAGGCATGTGTTTCCCGGCCACACAGACAGCAGCTGGCCCGCCGGCTGCTACTCTGTCGCTGCTGCCCAGCCACCCTGGCCTCTGTCAGCTCCTGTCTGCGATGGAAGCAGGGACGGGGTGGGGAGGGCAGGCAAGGCAGGAAGCACAAACATTCCAAGCTCCCAGCCCAGTGACGGATGATTCATCCCTCACTCTTCATGTCATCTCCCATTTGTGCGGTTCTCATCTTTATTTCATGAATATTTTATTCTTAGAGCAATGGCTCCACTTCCCCCATAAATCTAGAGGGTGGCTCTTTACTGCAACCACAGAGTCTGCTGCACTCACCTGCACTGAGTAACTACATAATAGTCTGATTCCTTAGAAAAAATACGAGCTCAAATCCACATGAATATTAAGGGGTTGAACGCACATTACTACTCTTCCTCAAGTAGGTGTCTAAAGTCTGAAGACATCTCAGCACAAGCCATTAAACACAACTAGAACTACACCCAAAGACAGGTTTCTGGCTCTTAAGAAATACAGCCAGTGCCCCAAAATGAAGCATTCTAAGGTAAAGCAGACACTCTCACCTAATTGAGAATGCTGCTCCATAAAACACAGCCAACCAGTAACACAAAGTGGTTCTGGATTAAATACCGCTAATATTTGTGGAAGGTTTGAAAGATATGCTTCTAATATCCTGTTGTTTCAACCCCCTCCTGGTTCTTATTCCCTCCATGATGAGGGCTCAACCACTTGGCCTGACATCCAAGTCCCTTAGAGCAAGTCCCTGCTCCCTGATCCAGCGTCCTCCACTCACATCCCCTTGCTGATGGCGACACTCTAGCCCCCACAGCTCCAGGAGGTGTGATGACTGTTTACCTCCGTGTTGTTCACCCTACCCGAAAGGCAACTTTCAATCTCACCTCCAGCTCTAGGATCTGTACCAACCCTTCAACACTTCACTAACTGGGAGGAGCTCTTCACTAACTAATACCCCTGCCCCCCCATGACCCCAGGCTGGGCTGGGTGTCTCTCAGTACATCCATGGTACCCTCTGCTCACTTGAGAATAGCCTTGATCAATGGAGGCTGCTTTGGTCAACCTCTCTGCCACATCTGCTCCTGCGGAGGTAAGCCCCCTGGGGACATGGACTGTTCCCCCACAGGCATATATTTATGAAAGGAAGAAGAGAGAGGGAGAGATTTCATTTGAAAATCAGAAACTCATAAAAACAGAAAAAAGATGGGGAATATTTCCCTCTTCTATCATGCAACCCTTAGCAACACCAGAAGGGGCTGGAGGAAAGGCAGCTACCCTGCTTTTGCAACCTGTCTTTTCACTGGTCCTCATTCCTATCTGGAAGCAAGTTGGGGGCAGGTGCAGAAACTTCCACATTTTCTAGGCAGGACCAATGTATTTCATTCTCTCTTATGCCTCAGATCCTGGGCTTATGCAGAAGCCAGAGGAGAAGACAGAATGCTTTGCTGACAAGAAGAGAGCTGTTCCTCACAGCTGGGTCATTTCTTGGTCTCCTGGTCTTTTCTCTGTATTTCTCTCTTTCACGTCTGCCTTCTATATCTCTCCAAAAATCAATCCCCTCACCTCTCCTTCTCTCTCTCTCCCTTCTCTCTCTCTCTCTCTCTCTCTCTCTCAAACACACACACACACACACACACACACAGTACTCATTCACTTTGGCTGCCCAGGCTAGGCTTGTCACTAAACACTAAACTAGGGGATGTGAAGGGACATGATGACCAGAAGCAGATGAGAATGTCCTGTCCAAAGGAAGAATGGCCTCTCTCTGCACCTAGTTCATACGGGACATTCTGGAGGGCAGAGCCTGTTTCTCCTGGGCACCCACTCTGCCCATGCCATCCCAGGTCAGCACTTCCATGACAGGGAGATGCTCACCCACCCAGAGAGCCTCTCCTGCTCCCCTGACCCAAGGGCATGTGCACTGAGAAGTCAGGCTGTGGCTGATTGGGTCTGGAAAAAAAACAAACCCAAACCAAACAATATGGAGAGTGAATGCAATGGGATCTTGTCTTCCCTTGTCCCACTGGGGATGGTTCCAGGACCACCCTACCCTGGGTACATGCTGAGCCTTCTGTACATATAGACTTGAGGCTGGTAAGGGGACATATATGCAGACTTTCCTAAAAACTACTCATCGGAATAATTCACAGTCCCTCCCAATAACTTCTTCACAAAAAAATTTCCAGGAGCAAAAGAAGTTCAAGCAGAACCATTAACTGTTCCTTTCAGTGGCTTTCCCTTAAGTCTCCTCCTTCCTTCTCACCCGTGGCCCAGGGGTGACCAGAGAAGCACTGAGGCCATGGGAGACCCAGGCCTTTTCCACTTTGCACTTCCTTGCAGGGAAGCACACAGAAGGCAGATGAGGAAGATGGATGTCCCTAGAACATTTCCAACATGCTGAATCAAATGGCAAGATCCTTCCAGCAAAAACTAAGTGTGATGACAGAGAGCTTGCTGCCTGGTATGAATGGAAAGTCTGTCCTCACCCCGACCTTGCCAGGTGCTCCATTACAGACTGATATGGGGTATGGCCAACCAGTCTCTCCACGCTGCAGAGATGGTGGCCATGGCGACACTGCCTTTCTGGATTTGGCGCTGGTTACTTTGCTGCATCTTGTTTGAAATTTACACCTGTTTGTAGCAACATAATCTGTTGATTAGAATTCAGAAGAAGCTGAGGTATAGGCAGCACAGAGGGGCAGCCCTGCAATCCAGTGGCTCGGCTTATGTCTCCCTGCCTGTGTGTAGGTTTCCGCTGGCACAGATCATCCCCAAATGGCACTCCTTGCCACCCTCCCTTAGGGGAACTGGCTCCAGGGTCCCTTGGTGGAGGCTTCATATAAAAAAATGGACTCAAAGAAGAACAAAACCCCAACGGAAGGAAGTGTTGTGGAAAGAATCAGCTTGTGGTTGGCACACATAAGGAGGGATTTTGTGCCAGAACTTGAAGTCTGGACAGAGCCACAAAGTTCCCTGTGCTGGGTGTTCCTGGAGGAACATGGGCAAGGCCGGGCCCTATACGGAGGGGGAAGGGAAGGGGAGAAGGGGCGATGGGAGGGGAAGCGGGGGCCAGGCCCTACTTGCATGCTGGAAGAGCAGAGCCCTGTGGCCCTTGATGTGAAGGCAAAGAGAACCAAGAAGGAATGAGATCTCCTCTCTTACCCTACAGTTGGTCTCTCCAGGTCAGGGTGGAGGCACATGGGCGGGGCAGGGTGGGGAAGGGCTCTCTGGCGCTGCTCATGCTGTACCCGCTCTATAGATAAATACAGGACTTTAGTGGCCATGGCTGGTGCCTTGGCACTTTGTTCAAGCATAAAAACATCCCCTACATTTGTTCTCTTGCTTTAAAATCAAAGTAAAACAATGACACCATCCCCCCCAAATAAAACACTGCCGCCTCTAGACAAGTGACTTCGGTAAATACTAACTGGAAGAAAACCGCCCGCCGAGTGGCCCAGTATGACTCTCCTGCCTCTAGGATGCAGAAAGGAGAAGCAGGACTCAGGGCACGGACCTCTTTGGGGGTCTCCTGGTGGCACCGGTTGCTGTTCCACCACAACTCCAGGGCGGCCACCAGGCAGGCCAGGAGGAGGCCGATGGCCAGGATGCAGAAGACCCCAGCGAAGCTGTGCAGCTTGAGGGATTTGCCGTCGGCCTGGGCACTGGCGTGGCTGGTGAGATCACAGCGGCCCATGTGAGGCCACCACTTTTGCTTGAGCACGTCCAGGTCCCCAGTGTCCTGCAACTCCAGGATCCTGCAAGATACAATCCACATGAGCCACAGCCACCGGCCTCATCAGTGTGGTCATGGGGGCTTTGGCCCTTTCCCCACCATGCTGGCCCTTCCACAGACCACGCTGAACCGTGGTGGCTCTTATTCTGTCCCAATTTTTCCCTCCCCAATCCATTCTCCCACTGTGAGACAGAGTGCTCTTCCCAAAATACACATCAGGTTTGTCTTTCTCCTTAAAAGTCTCGATGCCCCCTCCTACCACTGCCCATGGATAAAGTTCAATAGCAAGCACATAAGGACCCTTCACATGGGACTGGGGGCAAGCTCTGGGGATAAAATAGGAAAATATAGAACTGGACGAGGCAATATTTGGACTGTGGACTTACAAAAATGCTTTCTTTAAACCTTCAATCCATTGTAAGTTTCTCCCACCAGGATTCCCCAAATCACTCATTCATTCATTCGATTTGAGGAGTATCTGCCTTGCGCTATGTGTGATGTTCAACACTGCTGAGGGTGCAGTCCAGAGACACATACATGGACCTTGAAACAATTAGAGCAATCAGTGTGGACACCGAAGCTGTGATCAATACCATGACATGAAAGCACAGGTGCTAAGAAATGGTGCACTGGGTGGGTGTCCAGACCAGGGGGGTTACAGGGAGGACCTCATCAAGGAAGTGACAGGTAAGCTGCCACCTGAAGGAAGGTTAGTCATCAAATAGCTCACACTTGTCTGGCATATTCTATGTGCCAGGATATATGCTAAGTGCTTGACAGATAGTGTTTAATTGTCATGTCAACCCTTTGAGATGGTTCCTTCCATTCTCCTATTTTAAACAGAAGGAAATGGAGGCACAGAGAGGTGAAATATCTTGCCAAATTCACTTTGTGGTTGGCAGGGATGGCATTCAACAAGAAGGAAAAACTACAGCCATGCTTGAAAGTCTTGTCTGGGCTAAGTGCTCAGCATGTCTGAGATGCTAAAATATGGCCACTGAGGCTGGAGAGTGATGAGTGAGGAGGAAGATGGTGGGAGAAGAAGCTAAAGCAGGAAGAGCTGAGAATGTCGGTTCTGAGAGGGTATGAGAGGGAGTCTGGATTCCATCCTGATCACCAAGGTGGGGCAAACCCCTGGGCTCCTGTAGTCCCCATGCAGGTGTTTGGATGGTGGTTTTCCTTCTTGTGGCATTTTATGGACTCCCTCTGTAATCCAGTGGTCTGAACAGTGAGCTAGTAGTATCTGGTAGTCCCCAGCCTCCTCATACCCAAGCTTTTCCATCTGGGGAGGGAGACTCTTTCAGCCTGGTGCGTGGTGATATATCCAGGTGATAACACCTGCCGTGACCTCTCTGAGCCCATATTCTCAGCTCTCTGGGTGTACACAGTTCAGGAGAAGTGGTTCTGTACAGCCAGGAGAAGCTCACTTCCAACTGTTCAGTTGAGCAGTCTCTGCCCTGGACCTGCATTGCAGGCCACCTGTGACCATAAGCTGAGGCTGAGGTCTATGGGCTGTGCATGCATGCATGGGCTGTGGCTGTTGGAGAAGGAAGGCGACAGCCCAGAGGGGGTCCTCTGACCTTTCACCATCATGGACCCAGCATAGCATGGCCTTTCATAGGCTGTGAATAGCTTGGCTCAGTACAAGAAGCAGGGGATGGAGGCACCAGATCTCAACTGGGTATCACGGAACAAGTGACTTGCTCCTGCTTAACCTTGGCTGGCTCATCTTTGTAAGATAGATCCATGACCCCACTAGGTGAGTAGATCCTTCAGGATGGGCTGTGTGTTACTCTCCATGGTTTCTCCTGAGCAAGCAGAGTGGCGGCACAACTTGGGCCATCAATGGATGTTGGCTGCATCAATATGTGTGTGAATATATTAATTGAATCATGAAAACTAATCTAAACTAAAATGGCCATGGTGAGATAATGAGATAATGTCTGTTAAGAGCCAAGGACACAAGTCAGCACAAAAGACTTAATATGCCGCTGTGCCTGTAGGGACTTGGTCATTGAGATAAATGCATGATTGACATGTGCACCTGTGCGCCTTGGGCTTGTGCTCGGTATGCCATTGAGCATCACAGATATCTCACATGGCACATCCCATGATCACCTGGGCAGCTTCAGTGTCCCATACCTCTGTATGGCACTGGACATGTTACGGAAGCTGGCCACTGGTTCATGCTGAAAGGCCACTATTTAAGTCTATGCTGGCAGGTCTGAATAAGCTGGGCCTCCTGGCAGTTATGGGAAGCCCAGGGCTGGATATGCAGGATCTCAGGGCTTTGAGAAGACTCGTGGGTAGACTAATGGCTCGCTGAGGAGAGACAGCAGAGCTTTGTATTTAGCACAGATTCTGCTCTGATGGACATCATGCAAACACAGACCGTGCCATCACACTAGCCATGGTATGCAACCTCTCAATTTCAGTGCCCTTATTACTAAAATCTGTGATCATAACAACTCCTACCACAGCATGACTGTGACAAAATGGAAAAGGGACACATGGGCACCACTCAGCTCAAGATATGGCAAGTAATAAGAGCTCCATAAAAGCTGGTAAAATTTGCACAGTCTGATGGCCATGCTGACCAGCAGCCCTATCCAGTCCAGTACTGACATGCACTGCCTTTTATTGAGAACATAGTAGGGACTGATCATTTACCATTGTTGTAATCCTCCTAGCAGCCTGCAAAGTAGTTCTTAGTGAATCAGTTTTACATCTTGAAGACCTGAGGCTTGGCATCTAGATGACTTGTTCATGGTTGCAATTAGAAAGTGGCAAGATTACTCTTCAGAGCTGGGGCGTGCTGACCCGGGAGGCCATGCTCTTTCCAGATAATCAGGCTGCTAAGTGCAGTCAGCGGGCTCTCTGAGAGTTAGGATCTGGTCTACCGGACCATGAAACTCTGGCCAGAGCATAGCTGTAGGGTCTGATTTTTACTCCTCCGCTCACTGACTGCAACATCAGGCAGGCTGCTTAGTTCTACCGATGCTTCTCTTCTTCCTGCTCCTTTTAATTGTATGCATTTTTATGCCCAATATTATTCCAGGAAGAATGTAAGGCAATTTATAGGGAAACATAGAATAAAGTAAAAACAAACAAATCAAAAGGAAAATTTAAACATGTAAGCAACAGAGGAAAGATAAAACAAGTCACGGGCACAAAATGAGTCCTAGAACAAAGCTAAACTAATGCACACCATAATAATCTATACTCCTGCTTATGAGTAAGCCGGAGCGATAATAGCCACTTCCTGAAGCCAGTTGTTCTATTTTCCAGACAGATATAATTGCAGGTGCTTTCCTCTGGTCAATAGTTGGGGAGCCTGCTACACAGTAGGTGCTCTATAAATGGCTATTAGGTTGTTAAACATTTATTGAATGCCTGCCCTGCATGCCATGGTCCACAAACAGGCTACAGCACTCAACCCTGCCATACACACTTAGAAGGCACGGCCTATAGAACCTGTTCTCTGCCAAAGCAAGGGCGTGTACCCATATTCAAGGAAACAGCTTAGTTTCCAGGATGAAGGGAAAGAAAGTTACAGCAGTTCCAGATAAGACCGGGATCTGTGATTTCTATGAGGCCTTTTTTTTCCTGTAAATGGCATAGTGCATTGCTTCCTGGATCTGCCCCCTTCCTCCTCTCAGGCATGCCCCAACTAGAGGCAGCTCACGGTTCTGTAGGCATCAAACAACGGAGAGCCTCTCAAAGAACCACTGGCAGTAGTACATTGACGACCTGAGGTCAGAGTGTTCCTTCTAAGTAGATACCCATCTGCCCAGGTAGGGGAGGGGGGATGCTTTCAGCCCAAGAGAGGCTGCAACACAGAGACTTAATATGCACTCTCCTCCCAACTCTGCCAGGAGCTGGATGAGTGACCCTCTCTGAACTTCAGGATGTTAAATGAATGATCTCTAACAACTCTTGCCCCTCCAAATGGATTATCCTCAGTGCTGGGATGCCTGTGTTTACCAGTCAACTGGTGTTGCCCCTAAGCCTGGGTACCATGCCAGCTTTTTCATTTGGACACATCTGCTATTTTGGATTTTGGTGGACCAAGATAGCCTGTCCTTTGGGATTCCTCTCTAAGCTCCTTAGTCCTGCCCTCTTCACTCACCAGGATGTCACCTCACAGACATGTGTGGGCGATGGGCCCAAGGCACAGATGTCCTTAGGAACAGGAGCCCCAGTGAGCAGGCCACTGAGCTCACCAATGCTCCTCACTTTCACCTTGTCTGGTAAGGCCAAGACCCCTAGTCAAAGACTAAGATAAGTTTTCTGGCAGTAAAAGCAGGGTGTTGATGACAGACTTTTTTTCTCAAGGAAGCTGGCCAGGTGTCCAGATTGAGCACTTGGAAACTTGATCATGCCCAAGGGTCTAGAGTAGACCAGGCTCAAGAAGGGATGGACTCCCACCAGCAGATTACATGGGAAGCTTAATAGGCCAACACAAACTAGACACAAGGTTTCACTTCTGGTGGAGGGTATCCATGTGCCTTTGCTTAGGCTAGAATACCCAGGCCTATAAAGCCCTCCTCCCCTCTTACCCCCACCCTCCCCCTACCATTTGCTAGTATTAATTACCAGGAGGCTGATCTGGGGAGGATGGGGAGGAGGCAGGTCCCTTGCCTGCCCCAGCAGATAGCGTCTGCCCCCTCAGCCCATGTGCACATGAATATGCAGTCAATCTGCTTCTCTGACCACACTTTTTTTCAAGACCACATTGACTCTTCCCACACTGACTTTTCCCACTGAAAGCCAATTTTAGAACTTCCTAAAACTTATAATAATAAGTAAGTATTGGGCCCTTCTTAGATCCAATTAATTATTCACTTAATTTTAAATTACTGGGCCTATCTGGCTACCTCCTACTCACCCTTCAGGCCTTAGGTGCCCTCCCTGGCCTCCAGGTTCTGATCAGCTGTTTTCCTCTGCCCTCCTCCACTTCTAGAATAGCCTCTCCATTGCACTTACTTCCCTGTGCTGGCATTGCCTGCCTGCATCACAGTTCCCACCGAGACTATGCACCTTCATGAGACGGGACCATATACTTCCTCTTCTTCGTCCCCGGCTGGCATGGGACTAGTTGGGGTGGATGGAGGAGCATGTGCTGGTGTACAATCAGGGCTGAGTTCACGTGAGGAAGAACCAAGCTCGTGTTGGTTCTTGCCTCCTAAGAGAAGTTTATCCTCTAAGCCCCCCTTGGCTGATGGTGCCTACCTCTGGGAGAAGAGGTCCCTGTAGGGGCTGCCGTGCTGCAGGGCGATCCCGTAGCCCTTGCTGCTGACGCTGTTGCCAATGACAGTCACAGAGCAGTCATCATCTGTTAGGGCTGCGTACTCCACCACTGCCACATCCCACAAAAAGGCGTAGTTCCCCTTCTTTGCCTGAAAGACCAAAATCACCATGGAGTCAGGTAGGCCTGTATCAGTTTTGAGCACCGAGTAGCTCAGTGATGAAATCTGCGGGACCCTCCAATGCGATCCCCTGCCCACAAGCCAGCACAGCAAGCCACTGGCTTGCCACTTGCTGTGTTTAGACACAAAAGGCCGTGATGCTGTCTCCAGTATGCTCCAGGAAAGCACACGTTGCACAGAGAAGTAGAAAAGGTGAGTGGTAGGTGAGCTCTAAGGCTAGCCACCTGCTCACAATGGCAGGGACCTATTTCTCAGATTAGCAGGCTCACCTTCAAAAGTGCAGGAAGTCTGACCCAGGGAATTGAGATTTTCTGTTCAGAGATTTAGGGGGAGTGTAATAGTATTTCTACTTAGTTAGTATTTCTACTTAGAACCTGGCTGAGCCCTGCTTAGGGTGAATGCAGAAGATGGCCCTAGATTTAGTGCCCTGAGTGGCTATGACTTAATATCTAAGTCATAAAAAAATATCTATATATAAGTCATGAACTTGAACTTGCTACGCATAGAGAAGAACCCATAAAGTCAGGGTCCTGATTATTATGGTGCCAGGTTGCATTTCTGCCACGTGCCTTCTACTGCCCACACAAGAGTGTCCCCACACATACAAACATGCGCAAACACATACATACATGCACAGACACACAGGCACACAAGCAAGAGTGCACACACACACGCACAGCCACACACACACAGGAGGTTTCTATATCAATGCAGTGGTTGCAGATTATTTCATAAGGAATTTGCCCGTGGCCACGCTGAAGTCCCACCCCATTACACCCATCCACAGCAGACCTTCAGTTATATCCTGAGCCTTAACTCTGACTTTGCCTGGAACTTGGACGCTCAGGGGAAATGTGAGCTGCTCTGCTTTTTGGAAGAAGATGCAAACTAGACATTGTCACCTGGCCAGCTTAAAATAGAGCATAATGTTCTTAATGTAGCCAAATGCCTGGTTTTTATTCTAGAGTGAGCGCACAGTTGTCTCTTTGCCACTTCTTCCCTCTTACCACAACTCACACTGGGTGCTGTAAGACCTCAGTCTGGGCTTGGTGGCACGCCTGAAAGATCACAGACAAGAGATCAAGCTGGCACGCTACAAGTTTTGTGGCATCATCATGGGCATTGTGCTGATCTCTTGCTTCAGGTGAGTCTTCATGTCCACTGAGACTTTCCAAAGAGTGCTATTGTTACTTAGATGAAGGTAGTCAAGATTTTACTTCTTTTAGGACCCAAAGTGCCCGTGGGCCAAAATGGCTCATTTTTTCTTCAGAAGTTTTCCATCAAAAGGATTTGTGAGCAGAGCATGGCGCCCCCCGGTACGAAGAGGCTGCTCCTAGCCATTCAACAATTTTTCCCAAAGACCTTGTAAGAAATGACACATGCACCTGTGCCACCCATGGACTTGTACCTCCGGGAGCAATCCAAATATTACATCAAAACTGCATTCCATGGCCAAGCCAATTTCAGAAGTCCCTAAAGGACTTTGACCCAGGTTGCAAAATTACACTCATTTCTCTCCTTCCACATGGGAAGATAACAGTCTTTGAAATTTTTTCCTGCTGGCAAACAAGTTTTCTCTTGAAAAGATATAAATTTTCAACCTCTTAGTATCCAAGTTTCTCAGCAAAATGTTGACTTATGACCTAATATTTGGCTTTGGTCTCACTTTGGAGCATTTCACATCCATGCTCGCAATTCAACATGACAATCAGACATTGTTATTTGGACGATTTCAAAAGGGCATGTCATGTTGAAGGAAGAATTAAGATCAGGTTCGTTTCCACCTTTCAAGTGATGTTCCAAGAAGGAAAAGGAAATAGACTGGCTCAGATTGAGTGGAAACCGACTGACAAAAACCTGGTGCAGCCATTCTATGGGGGTACTTAGCTTCCTTCAAGCCACAAGTGTTTGCGGTTCCGGTTTGGGCTCAGTGACAGGTGAGTGCAGCTGCAAGAAGGAAGCATTTATTGTCTTGCTGGCCTAAGCTGAGAAGCCAGGAAACACATGGATAGGATGCTGACAATGTCTCAGCTGCAAATCCCTTAACCAGGAAGGCTGTCGAGAAAAGAGGGGAGAGTAGTTCTTTCTTGAAGTGGCGAGTCTTCCCATTTTTAAACAGACACTAAAGTTACTATTATGTTTATGTCTGCTTCAAGGAGGATGTGGCCAGTCCCTAATATACTTGACAATGCCTGAACGGGGGGCCTGGAGAGACTAATGTGCCCTATCTTGTTTGTGGACCACATCAGAGGCTCCAGATGCATTGGGCTCTAGCCTTACGAAAATACTCTCCATCCCCAACATCTCTGCCCCAATTCCTCAGCATCCCAGAGCTTCCTACGTTCTCCTCTTAGCCCCATGCTGAGTAAAATGTAGCATCAGATCCCTCCCTGTGCCTCCCAAGTCTGTTAGGCTCCAGGGAAATTTTCTGGACCTTGTAGATATCTCCCCATCTTCCTGGTGTGTCACAGACCCTGTGTAACACAGAAGTCTTCTTAGGCCTGGCCATGCTCTCAGGAATATTCAGATGCCAACTATAAGAAGCCCAAACACACTACCCATCATGGTTATGTCCCCTTTATATAGACGTTCCTGTCTCCATGAAGAATGAGATCCACACACAACCTGCCCCAAATTTGAAGACATGTTTCTCCTTAATAGGGCCCAAACCAGCTTTCCATGGTTTGTGGAAAACCACAATTTGTGGAAAACCACAATCTGTGCTGCTTATCCACAAATCTTGGTGTGTGTGTGTGTGTGTGTGTGTACACAGAAATATACGTATATGCATAAGCATATGTATACACAAAATTAAAGTAGTATAAAACAATAGGATAGATACAGTATTATTATTGTTCTGTACACATGTGAAATGTAATATGCCAAAAGATGGATAGGATTATTACATAACGGAGTGGTATTAGTGATTCTTAGGACAAGCTGGTTAAAGGTTTTTCTTTAATCTTGTTACACAATCTATGTTATCACACACTATACAGGCACCAAGTCTGATCTCCGTTCCCCTGTGTGCCCTTGCCCATCAATACAACACAGAGGCCTGGCAGAGCTCTCCAATTTCCCGGCTATTACCCAAATACAGCCCTCATTTCCCTGGGCTGCATCTAAACATTTTGCTTTGTTTAATTCTCCCCTTTCCCTAAAAGGGAAAGAAAAGGCAATTGGTTTAAACATAAAAAATGAAAAGATGTGAAGATTCAGGGATAGAAGGAAAAGAACAGCTTTGATATTAGACAAAGTCAAAGGCATCTGAGCATCCATCCTCAGGAAGTCAGGATAGCAGCAGGTAGCAGGCCACCCCTGACATATCTCCCTGTAAGTACCTTAGCAAACAGGATCCAAGCCCTTCCCTGAAGTCCACTCTGTGCCCAGTCCACATGTACGCTGGAGTACAATGAATGGAAAGGGATGGAGATAGGAGGGTGCCTGGCCCCAGCATTTAGAGTATCCTCCCTAACATTTGGGGGAATGTGATTAGCCTCTATGGCTGGAGGAAGGTTGGGCACAATAAACAAAGCCACGAGTGAGCTGGGATATTGGAGGACTCCCTCTCCATTGCTCCACACCAATAATAAAATGAGATTGCATTGCCTTTCATTGCACAGCTGATTCTGCCCTTCGCAGAACTCACTTGGAGCACAAACTTTCCGAGACAACAGCCTTCGAGGCAAGAACTTCATTATGCTCTTCTATTCCATTCTAACTGCTTTTGGAAAGGGGCAAGCAACCACATTGTTCCCCCAAACAAGAATGCTGGGACTGCAAACAGCGAACACAAATGTTATTGGAAAGAAAGTGCTGAAGGAAATCAGGTGTCTACAGTGCCAGCTACAGGGAAGGTGCAGAGCACCTGCTGGGTGCCGAGACTTTCAGAGCCCTGATTCCTTTGCCATCCCTGGTATAATTCTAAAGGGCAGAACATCTATCCCCTTTGACAGATGAAGGAGAAACAAAGTGAGTTGTCCCAAACAGACCCAGATCATGAAAGGCAGAGCCAGGTTAAGGTAAGCTAGCACTCTGGCTCCAAAGAAGGCTGTGCTGTCCCCTCTGCCCTGCTTGGACCTGTGAAGGGAGGGCTGGGGAAGTTGGTCCTGGTGTCCTTGCCCTCTGAGCACTTCCCAGGGCAGTGCTGCTGGTGACAGAACACACTGAGATGGCAATGACTGTCTTTCTCCAGCTTTGGAAACATGGTGGCTTGTGGAACTGCTGAACCCCTGTGAAATGGAGGTCATGGGCCACACTGCCTCTGATGGGGTTGTCAGGATATCAGGGACTCCTTGGACATTTGATGCATCCTCATGTGCATTCGCCATCTGGAGACACCTAGTGCCTCTCCCAGAGTCCACTTTCACCCAAAGCAGAGCTTGGCCCTCTCAGGTGTCCCAAGTGTTAGCTCCCATGGTCATGTTCATGAACTGGCAATGCATTGCCATGCACAGCCTGAACCCTGGCTACAGTGACACCTGCACCAAATTACAAGATGCACAGTGAAAACCCAGACCATCTGTGGAGAAAAGGACAATTTTACAGTCTGCCGGTAGGAATGTGGGCTGGCACGATATTTCTGGAATGGCAATTTGGTGGGGAGACTCAAACGCTCTTAAAATGTGCATATACAGCAATTCTACCCTTAGGGATCTATCCTAAGGAATTATTCAGTTTCTGAAAAGATGTTTGTACAAAGATTTTCAGAGTAACACTGTTTAAACTAGAAACAATTGGAGATAATCTAAATGTTCAAAACTTAAGAATCAACTGGGTAAATGACAGTATTAAATGATGGAATATTATATTACCATTACCATGGAGTCTTTTTTTTTTTTAATTTTTTTTTCCAACGTTTATTTATTTTTGGGACAGAGAGAGACAGAGCATGAACGGGGGAGGGGCAGAGAGAGAGGGAGACACAGAATCGGAAACAGGGTCCAGGCTCTGAGCCATCAGCCCAGAGC